TGGGGGTTTTTTTAAAGTTAGGTGGGATAAAGAGCACGTTCTGGGGGCTTGGGGAGGATCAAGAAGCGCCCTACCAGGAGGTGATGGTTTGGGGATCCATCATCTCCGTGGGTGAAGCTTAAGAGCAAGCTCAGTCCTAACAAAGACCCCGAGTTCTGCCCTGTGTTCCCAAAATCCGTCCTTTCTCCCTCCATAACTTAATCTCATCTTTCGGGGTATTTTCCAGATCCAGCTGCGACAGCAGCTGGACGCCAGAGTCCCTGCTCCCACCACGATGCGCTCTCAATCTTTGGTTGATGACGGCTTCCAGACAGGCCACAAACCCCACCAGAATCCTTAAAAAAAAAACAAAAAACAAACAAAAACATTTAAATAAATTCAATTTATTTTGCACAAAACGACGTATCAGCATGCCCACATCTCAACCGTGTCTTCTCCTCACCTTTCGCAGCCCAGTTCAGAGTCCTGGGACCCGACCACCCCATCACCGCCGTCATGGGAGAAGACGTCGTGTTGCCTTGCCACCTCTCCCCGAGGTTGAACGCCCAGAACATGGAGGTGAGGTGGTTTCGGTCCCAATTCTCCATCTATGTCCACCTCTACCACAGCGGGCAGGACCACTACTCCTCCCAGATGCCCGACTACCAGGAGAGGACAGAGTTTTTAAAAGAAGGCATCTCCATCGGCAACGTTTCCTTGAGGATCCTCAGGATCAGGCTGAGCGATGAGGGACAGTACCAGTGTCTCATCAAAGATGGGAATTTTTATGAAGAAGCCACCGTAGAGCTGAAGGTAGCAGGTAAAGAAAAAACCAAACCAGGAGTCAGGGTTGTCTGCAAGGTGGACCTCCGGCATGCCCCGTTTGACCACCACAACTCAGAAACCTCTTTTGTTTTTTCTCTGCTTGGTAGCCCAGCTCCTCGTGAGCATCTCCCGACCTGCGTTGGCCTCAAATCCCCGCAGAACATGGGCCGTCCCATCACCAAACCCCTAAAGCCTCACAAATACGGCAACGGCATCTTCCAAACCAGGAGAAACCTCCTGGTTGCCCCCCGCCCCAGGTCAACCATCTCAGCCCACAGCCCTGGCTTCGTCTCTAGTTGGCTTGCCTTCAAAAGAGATCACGTGGAAGGAGCGGGAGGTGACGCAGCCAAAGGCAGAGATATGTCCTTGTCCGCCTTTTCCCGTTAAGGATGTGGTCTCCAAATTGTCCCCAAGTTGGGACACGGGCACCACACCGAGAATCATCATTTAGGTTGGAAAGGATCTTTAAGATCATCAAGTCCAACCGTAAACCTAACACGGCCGAGTCCACGTGCTTCCCAATCGGAGAACACTGACCTCGCGGTTGGCCAAGCATCTCCCAAAGACACCCTTGTCCTTCCTGAAGCCATCAGGTCTCACCTCGCTTAATCTGCGGAGGGGATGAGCTCCCATCCGGGTGGAGATGGCTTCGTCTCGGGACCTTCCATTTGCCTCACCCTTCTCCTTAAGAGAGGCCGTGCAGGGTGGGTTACGTGATTTCACGGCTGTCCCGTGACTCTGAGGACGTGAGTAAATCGAGCTCGGGCTGTCCCTGAAACCAAAACTTCACAAGGTTTGGGGTTTCTTGGAGGAAGGAGGGGAAATAGGAATAAATAACCTCAATTCCACTCCAAGCTCAGACGTCTTCCCCGAGTCCTTCACCAGTGCTGCCCTAACTTTGCAGTCGTGAATGGAAAAAGCTTGGAGAAAGTCTTCTCCAGGACGGGCACTCAGCTGGGCTAATTTTTTTTTTTTAATTATTTTTATTTTTTTTTTTTGTCCCAGTTTCAGGTTCCAGCCCCTTCCTCTCCGTGGAGGATTACCAAGACGGGGGAATCCGAGTAGGGTGTCGAGCCACCGGCTGGGACCCAAAGCCCGAGATGCTGTGGAGGGATTTCCAGGGCCAGCAGCTCCCGTCCTTCACCAAATCCAACTTCCAAAACCAGAACGGCTTCTTTGAAGTGGAGAAGTTCATCATCATCCAAAGAAACGCCCAACGAAACGTGTCTTGTTCCATCAGGAACACGCAGCTTCCCCAGGAGAAAGACTCGACCATTTACATATCGGGTGATTTGCCACCAAAATTAAAGTTTTAAAAGTCATACTTGGGAAATGAGGGTTTCCTTGCCCTAGTTTTATGCACCCAACCGTTGTTGGCTGCATCTGAGGAGGCTTCTGGGCACGGGGGATCAGTTGGATCCCCAGATGGGTACCTTCACCTGCAGCGCTCCGAGCATCAGGCGCGTGCGATGGAGGAGGAACCCTGGGATCAAGTCAGGGATATTCAGAATTATTCTTTTAGTAGAAAGATGGTTTCAGCGTAGTTTTCTTAAGAACCATCCCTCACGTGGGGGCTTCCTATTCAAATTTTAAAAAATTTCTACTAAAAAAGCAACCTCAGGTCTAAATATTTCAGCGAGGACGCTCAGAGGAGACTGAGCGCATACAAGATGTCATGTTTCTGCATATTCCCGTCACAGAACATTAAACGCAAAAAAGTTTTAGAATATTTTGATGGGGATTTCTTTCCATTTTTGAATTTCCAATGGGCTCACGGTAATAAACA